AAATAAAATGTGTTTCTTTCCCTAATTTACTTGTAGTTAGTAGCTTCCAAATTGTCTCAAATACTCTTTGAACCGTACGCACTTTATTTGGGGCTTTAAGTAGGTAAGCATATAAATAACATTTTCCTCATTATAAACAACTGCTTAAGCCATATAAAGTTGAATCTTTGACCACGCGCGGCTTTAAATCAATGGAAAGCCCGTCGGGCTTGCTAATAAATTTTCTTCCACTGGTTGTTCATTTATTTTTTAGAGATTTATCATTTTTTCAACTGTTAGGTATGATAACGACTGACTATTCTAAATGTATATTGCTGAGAACCGAAGTATAGTTTTACCGACACGTAATTGAAACTCCACCTTTTTGACGTCATTATAAGCTTTAATTTAAACGATTTCAACTTCAAAGATTTTTAAAAAAAATAAATACACACGAAAAAGCTACATAAAAGTTCCATATTGCATGAATGATTAAAAAATCGAATTTAAACAATTAAATGTTTTTAGCACTCACTTCAGTTTGTAATTAAAAAAACAAGATAGAACGCTACAGTCGAGCAAGCCCGACAGTAAAATAGCCACAAAAAAGAAAAATTAAAAAAAAAAATTTTAAAAAAAGTAAATTATTAAATAAAATGAATGAATTAATTAATTATTTAAATTAAATTAGAATACATGTTTATGTTCAGTTTTAACAGCATACATTTACATCACGTACCTATGCGTGTTTATATGCGTGTATGTATGCAGCACAAAGTTGAACCAAAGCAGCAACAACAACAACAGCTGCGGGCAGCGCTGCCGACAGAGCTGGCTATAACTGGCTATATGGCTATAACTTTCTTCAGAGTTGACCTATCATGATGAAATTTGGCATACGGACGCGTTAGTGCTAACTGGATGTACCTAACAAAATTGATTTCAAAATTCCGAGAATTACGGAAGTTATAAGAAACAAGATAGAACGCTACAGTCGAGCAAGCCCGACAGTGTAATACCCTGTACCCAGGTAAACTTCCGTCACTGAGTTATATGCGCCCAAAGCAGCAGCAAAAAGAGGAAGAAGAAGAGCGAACTTGTTGCTGCAGTTTTTGGGGGTTGTACTGGCGAGAATTTGTTTCGCTAATAACTTTTCTTAGAATTGACAGAATTCAATTTTAAACAACAGTAGATAATTATTTATAAATTATGTGTGCAAAGTTTGGTTTAGGTAGCATTTGAAATGTGGACGCTATTGACGAAATTCTGTAGCGGGGGAAGGGGGGGAAAATTAAAAAAAAAAATAAACTCGTCCTTACTCGGATCTAGGAGAATCTGGATGCCAACTTTGGTTATTCTAGCTTTTATAGTTTCTGAGATCCTAGCGTTCATCCAGACGGACAGACGGACGGACAGACGGACGGACAGACAGACGGACATGTCTAGATCGATTTCTCTCGTCATGCTGATCAAGAATATATATACTTTATGAGGTCGGAGATGCTTCCTTCTGTATGTTACATACTTTGCACAAACCTAATATACCCTTTTTACCCTACGGGTACAGGGTATAAAAACACGAATTGCGGGGGAGTGGGGGGGTGCATCGAAAAAAAACTCAAACTCGTACTTTCTCGGTCTTAGGAGAATATGGAAACCAAGTTTGGTTATTCTAGCTCTTGTACTTTCTGAGATCCTTGCGTTCATACGGACAGACGGACGGACGGACAAGGCTATATCGACTCGACTTCTCATCCTGATCAAGAATATATATACTTTGTGGGGTCTGCCACGCCTCCTTCTGTGTGTTACATACATGCGCACAAAACTAGTATAGCCTTTCACCCTTTGGGTACAGGCTTTAAAAAGTATTAATCAAAAAGCGCACATAAGAAAGTCAACAACAAAACCACAAGGCAATTAAATACATACATATACATATACAAAGACATATGGCATTAGCTAAAGCTGATTTAATCATTATATAAGAAAATGTAAGACTAAATGAGGATATTTTCCATTCTCTTTGCCGGTCTATCGACCAGTAAGATGATGAAGCATTTTACGATGATGTGTTAAGTATTGTCCTTTGGTTAACACATTTCCATTGCATATTACCTTTGTAAAACAAAAACTTTTGTACTGCCCAAGAGTGAAATCGGAATTCAAATGGTGGCCAGATGGTGTCATTAAGGAAATCAATATTAGTTACCTACGCTGACAGTTGAGCAAGGTCAAAGGCAAGCGTTGAAAGGGTGGTACGTGGCGGTCTACGACGTATTGAGCTTGTTTCAACACGAATTTAGATGAATATGTTCAGATCAACAAAAGGTGCAGGTGGCGCAAAACTTTGGGAAACATGTCAACACACGAGCGGAAAAGCAAGGCCTAAAACATGCCCAAAAGCAATCAACTATGCAAACGAGTCAAAGTAATACCACACAACAAATGTGCTCGTACGAATATGTACGCTCGAGGTGAGTTAGAAAAGAAACAAGCAAGGTCAACTGTGGATATTTTTCTACAATTTATCCATGTCATGTTCTGCCAACAACGGAGCAAGGGAGACACCCGTGCAAGATGTCTGCGAGTGGGCAGCTGAACCATCCAATGCATTCAAAGGTTTGACTGGCCATTTCCCATGTACTATGAGCTGACAGCCAAAAGCCAACAGAGTATGTTCGCTGCAGTTTTGTGAATGCAGATTTATTGGCACTCGAGCAGGCAAGAGGCACACATTATTGGCCCACATGTGGTGCTTCATACTGCAGTGCAGCATGGGTCCTGAGCTGACTGATTTCCAAGCATATTTCAACAGCTTTTAATGGCAATGCTCATTTGTTTGCAATGACGACGACTCTGCCGCAATCTAGCTCTGGGCAGTGTTTGGCAACCGCCAACACACAGAAGTGGCGCCAATATCTGGGCTGGTTACATGCGAAAACATTTATGGTGCTTGTACTTGTGGTATGCCAGGCGAATGCACAATGCGGCGTATACGTAACACGAAGCAAATCCCAAAAACTTACCAAGCGTGCAGTTGCCACACAACAATGCAAAATTAATTGTCTAGTTGCTGCAAGTTCTTTTAAGCTCAACTTTAAACGAAGGATATTTCTACAATTTCCTGTGTTTCATGCAGCAGTTGCCGAATGAGGAAAATTTATTATCTAACTATGACATTTATGACTGCTAAACGCAGTATTGGAAACAGTTTTAATTGCTCGAATCATTATGTTGTGTCTTTGAATGACAGTGAAACAATTTGGTTTGTCTATTCGTTACCTGTGCTCATAAATCCAATTTTCTCTCCTTCCCTTTTGTTTGAGAAGTGGGCCCAATAGGCCACAACGACCATGTAGATGTGTAAATCCCACAATTAGCTCAGAAAAATAATAATAAATACCTTAAATGAAAATAAATTTTTGTAGGTACAAAAACGTTTTTTGGCTTTCAGCAATTTCTCAGCAACTTTAACTATTGTTTCAACAATATAATAGATGAACATTCTAAGCTGGCCAATTCGGTTAACTTAAGCCTGATTGAAACGATTCATGTACAGTTGAAATATTAGAATGAATTGTATGGCTTTGATTAACTATTTTTACCAGCAATTGCTGGGATGTTTCCTTTATATTTGCTCAATACAAGTATTTGAATTGAATTATATTAAAGTTTAGTAGATGTTTAATCTACAATATTTACTGCAATATGAGATTGAAAGCTATCAAAAATAAAAAATAACCAATTAATACATCTTTTTAATTTTACTTTAACTTGGCCACAAAACAAACAATATAAGACACCAAAAATATACGAAAACATTACAAATAACTTAATGTGGTAGGCATGCATTATTAAAATGTACATACATTATTGATTGTATCGCTTGCAGGTGTAGTCGTAATTGCGTATCGACAGAAAATAAACAAGCACTTGGGAATATATATATATAGTGCATATGTATATATGTATATAGTATGTCTATATAGTATGTTTATATATAGTATGTAGGTATATGCATTCAACCTTCAGAGTCCCGTCGCCGCTGTGACGGACCCACCAAATACTTTCGTCCTTTTTTCACAATCCATTGCATAAAGAGCTGCTACTTCAAACCACAAAATTACTGCGTTTTCGCTGTACATTTATACAGTAATAGCGATAAAGGACCACAACCGATTTTTTCAGTTTATTATCAGGGAATGCTACAGCCACAATTTACAACTGCAATCAGTCTGACCCCCAAGGGAAATATGTTCATTCGATTACTGTTTTTGACAAGCGCTTTCCGCGTAAATAATTATACAAAAAATACATATTCTTTTGAATACACATATGTATGTATTAATTATTTAAATATTAAAGATACACATTATTTGTCAATATATTTGACGACGTCATTTCAGCACATATTTTATGTAAATATGATTTTTAATTATTTAAACATAAGTATGTTCCATTGTGCTTAAAACCAAATTTGAAAACGTTAATCTTTACAATACTCGTACATGAATTTCTGCACGAACACATTTAAAGCTCGCAGTTCTGCTGATAAGATAGATAGCATGAAATATTTTAAAAATTTATAATCTTAAATATTTTTAAATATTTGCAATTAGCGTTCACGAAAAAAAATGAAAAAAAAAAAAATTTTCCCACATGCGATTCTTAATTATGGCTTATCAGCGGAAAAAAACATTTTTGGCTTTTCCCACGAACATGCGATTTTCTATTATCTCTTATCAGCGCTGCGTTAAAGACCGGTTTCGGCATTACCCAGAGACAATATAATTACCATACAAGAACTTAAGCCAAAAAAAAAAAAACAGAAACAGAAACAACAACAACAATGAGAAAGAGCAGCAACAGATCGCATATAGCGCGTCTCATTGAATCAAGAACTGTTGATAAACCAGTTTGGAGCGCAGTTTCTCTCGCACTTAGTTTCGAGGCGGTTGTGCGCACGCAAAGCAAAGCCAACTTAAGTCAAGACTACTTACTATCGAAACGGCTTATAAAAATGTGGGTTGCATATTTTAAAAGAACAATAAATGTTCTGCTTCTGGTGTTTTTATTAGTGCTAATTAAAGACAGTCTCGTTAGTGGCCAGCATGAGAAAATAGTTAGCGGTAAGAACTGAAATCATTTGAAGTCCGATAATCAAAGCTTAATTCATTCTGCTCTATACAGATTGCACAAGTTATAAAGATACAGTGTTTGTTACGAAAGATGCGTTCAGCTTTGCCTTCCCGAACGCACCCATTAAGTTTGTGATTAATAATCAGTGTCAGGCCTATACGCCGCTCATTTATAATGGCGAACCAGCCGAGCCCAAAGAATTCCCGCATATGGCCCGCCTAGGAAATCGCAAATCGAACGCCTCAAAAATTGACTGGTTTTGTGGTGGAACGCTAATCAGCAAGCGTTTTGTGCTTACGGCAGCGCATTGCTTTGAATCACTTCAGTAAGTAAACAAACAGTCTAGCGATAAGCTGCACCCAGAGTTCAAAATCACATTTCTAAATGTACTTGTACTCTCTAGAGGCGTCGTGAATGTGGTACGCTTGGGTGAACTAGACTTTGCCAGGACAGATGATGTTGCAATGCCGGAGGATTTCGAGGTGGAAAAACTGATTCCGCATCCCAACTACACAGATCAGTTATTATATCATGACATAGCGCTAATTAAATTAGCGAAAGATGTTAGCTTCGATCGGTACAAGCATCCCGCCTGTTTGCCTTTCGAAGATGGATACTCTTTCGACACGTTCGTAGCCACAGGTTGGGGATCAACTAGCGCCGCCGTCTTGCACTCCTCAAAACTTTTGAAAGCACAGTTGCAGCGTTTTAGTGATACGAATTGCCGAAAGGAATACAGCACCAGTGAAGAGTTTCCACAGGGCTTTGATGCGACCACTCAAATATGCGTTGGCTCGAAATTCGGGCGAGACACCTGTGATGGCGACTCGGGTGGACCTCTGTTATCCTATCACAAGGACTATCCGTGCATGTATCATGTCATGGGCGTCACATCGTTGGGTGTTGATTGCGGCAATCCCAATAAACCTGGCCTATATACACGGGTATATCATTACTTGGATTGGATTACAGAAAATGTTTGGTCCAACAGTCAACTCATTAAATTTTAAGTAGCATTGTTTTTAACGTAGTTATCACACTTCACTTATTTGCTAGAATGCTTTTAGCCATTTTTGTACTATATGGCTATAACACACAGTAGGAAGCTCAGCCGTTTCCTACGTAATCCTACACATTTTGTAAAAAAAAAAAATTGTATCTTTAAATACCAGCAGAAAAAGCTTTGTGTTAGGATTGGTTTAAGCACAGATTTATATGAAACTACATTAAAAAATGAATGTCACAAATTAACAAAAAAAAACATTGTAGAACAATTGCTGTATATTTATTTAGATGTTATACTATATGTTTATATACCAATAATATTAGAAAGTATTTATGTTTAATAAGATATTGACCGCAAATTTTAGAATAATAAAATATATATTGAAAATATAAAAACAACATAAGTGAGTCGCTTAGTTTCAGAGCACCCAGTGCGATCATTATCTGCAATCATTATACGGTTCTCTAGCTTTGGGTAAACCAATTTATGGGCTTGAAAATACCGTGTTACAGCCTGCAGAACAGTTACTTTTGTATCCGCAATATGTCTCTCATTAATCTTGAACTTATAGCCATCGCCTTCGTCTAATAAATATTGAGTCAGCAAAATGCCATATAATTTATATGGATCCAGGGGTTGAAATTGTGGAACTTTACATTCGGTACATAGAATCAGAACAGATCTGACACGTCGTCCCTTGCGCTCCTTTAAATCATATTTGATGCGCATACCAGAAACTTGCAGGAATCCCCCATCCGAATCTGTTTCTCGCATTTGAACTGAGTGTTCAAGTATCCTCAGAATGTATTTCCCCAATATTTTTATGAAGATCACTTTACTGTCATAAGGTAATACCTGATATATATCTTCAACTGTCACTGCGCCGCCATTCGATGTTCTAGTAATAGAGCCACGAACAGCTGAAATTTTCAAGGAATATTTATAAACAATAATTAATATTGATCCGTAGTATAGTTCCTACCACCCGAATTGATAATTGCTGCAGACGCGTCGGTCCAGTAATCCTGAAATTTATTGTCTTCCAGACGTGCATATACCATACTATCAGCAATCAAGTTGCCAAAATTACATTCCACCAGTCGGCAGGCTTGGTAGTCCCCATTTAGAAACACCTTTGTGGTGCCTATAACTTGTTCCTCCAGGTTCTTTACCATCCCCCTCTTTTTATTGATGACAGCCATTATGTCTCCACGTGGCTCAATCGATTTGTCTAACAATATGGGATTGCCACTAAACTTGAGCAATTTTCCACTACTATCGAACTAATGGATATAATATAATTGGGGTAAGGGCAAAACACTCCATAATAGGTTCTTACCTCGACAAGTAATTTTCCCAAATACTTTGTAAAAGCGAAGGCCTGCACAACCGGAACTTGTATGCCATTTTTCTTAGCCACCACCGTCGGATATGGACCCTCAGGCAATTCCATGTCTGGCGGCTCACCAGTATATAGAAATGTGTGTGAATGTCCACCAACAACGATATCCACTTCAGGACACTTTTCCGCTATCTCTTTGTCCTTCTTATAGCCGGAATGTCCCAATGCAATAATAATATTGACTCCCATCTTAACCAGTCTTTGCGCCTCTTTACTTGCATTAAAAAAAAGGGGCAATAGAATTATAGGCTATGCCAAAATTATGGCAATATATCTCACTTTATGGCTTGTATCTCCTCTTCGAACTCAAATGGGTATAATGGCAAATGGTTTTTTGTTGCGGGTGTTATATAACCAATAATGCCGATCTTTGCCTGAAACTTAGTAATAATTGTTGAGCGAACTAAACGCGTTAGGTTCTGAAATTCGGGAATCAGTGCAATGTCCAAGTTAGAGCATACTACCGGAAATGATACTATATTCAAAAAATTAACTAATCCATCGATGTTGTTGTCAAATTCATGATTTCCGAGGCTCTAGAAGAGACAACTCTAACGTATAAATAGCACAACCCCTTCAATTGGCCACCTACCAATGCATCGGGTCCAATTAGATTCATTAACTGAGCTGCCATTTTGCCCTTGTAAACCGTGAACCAGGCTGTGCCTTGAAATGTGTCCCCCGCATTTAAATATATCGCTGATCCCTCGGCTCGTGCTTTCGCAACCCTGAAATTAAATCATAGTTATGTTGCTTTAAAAAATTTAATGTACATATACTTACGCAGTAGCCACACGACCGAACCCACCATAGCAAAGGCCGACCTCGTCCTGCTCTTTACCGCATTTCTCATCGCTTCCCAAAACTGGATCGTACCTAGCGTGCATATCATTGTTGTGAACGATGGTGAATTCAAAACTGTAGCCTTCACTAATTAGTAACGCAATCAATAATATAGGCAAGAGGCTTTTCCACACATGCATTCCAATGCTAAACAAGTTCGCCTCATTTATATTTTTTGAGCTTTACCAAATGATAGAAATGAAAATGAATATTTGATCAAATTAATTAGTCGAGCTTACTCAGTACCGTTAATATGCACCAGAATATAATAAAGCAGAAATAAATAATAAGAAATTCAAAGGAATTTAAAAACATCGACATGAAGTCAATTTTGAATACAATTTTGTGCTAGCTGTAGATTCGGTATAGCCAAATCAAATTCCAATTCCTCACGCGTTATATCAGCGAAATTTAAAAGTAGAATATTGTAATCGCAGTATGAGCATGTCAGATTTAAAGCACCACGTCAACCACTCTCCTACATTCTCATAATGAGGAGGCCAATTAGGAAAAGCGGTTTCTAAAATGCCGCTACACGCTTCAAACACTGTGCCCCATTGCGCCAGACTCGCGATTCAAACTATTTTTGTAGACCCTTCACACGTACAGAGAAAAGCATTTGTGCTAACTACGCAAAATGTAGCAAAAATTAGTCCTTAATTATGCGCCAGGCGGCACTTGACTGGTCGATCGGCAAACAGCCGCAACGGCGTAACCAAACACAATGCCCAATGCGACAACAACAACAACAGACACATCTGCATAAGCGGCGGTGCAGAATGGCATTAACTGTTGTCATTGCCACTCCCCAGTCCATGCTGGGGGGATTAGATGCAGGCCAACACACACACACGCACACATATTGGCGAGGACTTGCAGTGACGGTGCTGCATGCATTTTGTTCCAATTATATCGGCTTAGTTTGCCATAGAGCAACAAGCAAGGGGCGCCACTAAATATAACTGAACAACAACAGTAGTTCCAGTTTGGGGAAAAACTTTGTAAAATCTATCAGAATACTGCAACACGTTGATATTTGTCAATTATTTTCTGCATCCTGCGGCCGCAACAAGGACATACTGTGTAGGTAAGCTTAATTAGTTTAGTTTAACGCGCTTGTGCCACTTAATAAAGTAACACCAGCTGCAGCTCATTTGGGCCGATAGGCGTTAAATTAATGCGCAAATTTAATTAAAATTGAACTTCATTTAGATAAGTGAAGCAGGTGATGCAATGTAGAGCATATTTCAAGGCGTGTGCAGTCCCGTTTTCATGACTGTGCATGTCTGCGTTTATGTGCCACATTTTTCACACCCACACTCACCCACACCCATCGTCTATCTACTTATCTACCTGGCTGTGCCTGGCCGCTCTTCGCGTGTTAAGCGGCTTACAATTGAATCAAAAACGGCTGATGCGATAAATTAAACCACCAGGTACGCCCAAGTGGATTTAAAGCAGCAACTTTCAAATTAAGGACCCGTGTGTTTTTCAGCTTATATTAAGATTAAAGCGGTTCTCATTCAACCCAAAAAAGAAATATGCCAAAGACAATGGCCTGTCAAAGGTAAAAGACTTACTTGACACTGTTTCAATGTTCAGACCATATATGCATTTGTAAAGTAGGCAGTTCTACTAAAATGTTCAAGATCAATTCATAATCATTTCAAAGTTAAATGAGTTCATTTTTGTGGGAACACTTCACCATATATTTGATTCAATTATTTTAAGCATACAGAAATTAGTTTATAATAAGTATGATGAGGCACATCGTTCTGGATGTGTGTCTGTCCGTCTGCTTGGATTTATGGATATTATACTCTCCTTATCCTTATGCATGACAAGTAGAATTAATTTTCCTTTCTCCTGCAACTTTATGTCAATACTCCTCACATGTCCAAATCTACATAGAATTGGACACAATTCATTAAAAATGATTATCAGAAGAACTAATATTTAATATTGCGTTGATCCGAATTGAATATTTTTGGGGAAGCATAGTTTAAAAAATAACTCTGATTTATACGTTCCATTATAAATAGTTTTTACGAAAACACGAAAACTATGCTAAATTTTTAATTTAACATTTAAATGTTTATTTATTTTTAATCAATATCGCTATAAAACGCAATATTTTATCAAACTTCTTAGAAATTTTCTATTGATCATTTTAGCCCAACACGTTTAAATCGTTCTGTAAAGGTTTGCAAAGTGAAATGCCTTCCAGTAATTTTATAATTGACATCGTGGTCACGAGCCTTAATGTGCCCGGCGTGGTTATCGATGAACCACAAAAACTCATAGTAGAAGCAAGAGTTGTTGGCAAAGGCATTTTTATTACCTCAAGTCGTATAAATGTGACCGATTTTAAGGCTGGTGGTGGCGTCGAACTAGTGCTAGAATCCAGTGCGTTGCGCGAGAACCTCGAAAACAATGGCCTGATCATTACAGTTCGTTACAAGGGCTTCACAATGGGCGCCGGTACCATAATACTTCCTGATGAAGTCATTGATACCATAACAGACGACATGAGCGACTTGATACATGCCGACAGTTGCGAACTGATACGAGGAGGAAAATTAGTAGGTACTATAGATATTTTGTTCCGAATGGTCATCAAGTGCGAGGAAACAACGCAAGCGTAAGTGAAACAGGAGAATCTTAGTTTACTTTCAATGATGAAATTATTCCTATTATTACTTCAGAGTGGAACATAAAGGATTTCATCCGAGCATTGCCAGGAATATCAGTCCGCAGGATATATTGTTTGTTGTAGGCGAACCAAAAGTCTGTCCTACACCGACCGACCCCTGCCCAGATGTATTAGAATCTGAAGAGGGTGATGATCGCTTGTTTTTGGATCTGCTAAGATTCCGTAGTGTCAATCAGCGCGTTACAACACAAACGATTGAGGATACGTATAAAAATCGAGCATGTTGTGAACTAAAGGTAGGAACTCAGCTTCAGTTAGTAAGATCCAATCTGATATGATTTTTTTCCTATTCCACACAGAAACTGACTCTCGAGTATGGTGACATCATCGATAAAGTTGCGAAACAAGTAGGCATTAGTCCCGAGCAGCCATGTACCTATGCACAAGACTTAGACAAGCAATTAGATAGCAGTCCCTGTCAGCCGTGCAAACAAAAATTGCCGGAAATACCCCACGAAATTAAAGTTCCATTCAAACCCTACACACCTGGCCCTGATGCTCTGGCCGAAGGGTTTGCGTACGACAACGCATATCCCATTCCCATTGGGGATGGACATTTTCTAAATCCCGAGACCCCTAAGCCAATACGTTTTTGCCCCGTATGCTTGAACAGCATTTCTTGGCTGCCGAGATACGCTGCATGCCCCAAATGTGGTGTAAAGCCGACACCCATTTTCGACGAGAAATTGGAGGAAAAACTGAATGCAGATGAGATATTAAAGGAGTGCTTAGGTGAACGTAAGGCCGTTGTTGACGACGACTACTGTGAAGATCCCTGCACTAAGGCACTCAAAGACAAAGACAACTCCGATATTTCCTGCCGTTGCACTTGTAAGGGTCTTAAATTTTGTGCCCACTGTCGCATTCGCAAGCTTTGTTCCGATATATTTCATTCGCATGAAAAGAAAACTGAAGAATGTCCAGAAGTAGTGCCCAAGTCCAACGAGGATTTTCGCATTGTCAGCACCAAACCGCCAGAATGCCGTCCCTATCTTACACGCGTCTTTTCCGAGCTTTCTCATCTCTATGATGTCAAGGAAACCATGAAGAAGGAATCTCAGCTTGCCCTTAAATGCTCCCAACTATTGGTAAAATCCAAGGCGAATATGACAGCCGAAAAGCCTGAAATGGAAGCCAAAGAACCAACAGCAGGCATTATGGAGCGGATCTATCCGGGAAATAAAATTGGCCACAAGAATTGCCTTAATCTGCCCGGAATAGTTCCACGCCACCACGGCTGGGCATGGGCGTCAAGTAAAGAGGCACGAAAACATGGTTGGAGGCCAGGAGCAATACGAAGACCCATTGATGGCATTATGAAATTCTTCCTAGCAAACTCATCCGAGGAGAATGCATTCAACCAGTGCAAACGTTTGGCAGAAGCTCTAAAAGAGGAAGAACGTGAAATGCCGGTATTAACGGTCAAGAAAAAGAATGGTGAAATCTTCATTACTTTACGCCCACTTGGAAGTTCAAAGCTAAACATGAAGCCCATTACGTTTAAGATAGTAAAGAGCGATCTAGCTGTGGCCCTGCGAGAAATAAAGCGAAGGCTCAAGAGCATGGGTTTCCCCAAGTGTACCTGCCACAAGACTCTGATGCTATGTGAGTGTCGGCACTACATGGAGAAAAAGCAGATCGAAAAGGTGCTGAGAAAACTCTGCGAAAACCACGGCATGCCAATGTGCGGAGATAAACTGATACTTACCGATACCAGCGAAAGCGAAGTGGAGTTCGACGTAAGAGTGACACCACCAGCGGGCACGAATAAGCCATTGGCCGCACTTAAGCCACGCACCATAAACCATGGTACGCAAACCTCAAAGGCTGACCTTAAAGTGCAGCCCTTATATCCTATGCCATGGAATCCGTATTATCGCACCTATGATTGCGCCGTGGGCGATCGGTACACGGGCACAGCGTTTGGCGCACCCGGCGAGAAGGTGTTTGAGGATGGTGCCTTTGGCTTCTTTGGTGGAGGACCACACGGAAAGACCATATGTCCAGGTGGCCGTCCGAAACTTCGAAGTATTTGGGGTGCTGGAACTGGTGGGCCAATGCGGCTCGGCAGTCGAGGTCCAACTGCTATGAAGGGCTTCCCCGGTGGTGGCAAAACCGGACCATATGCAGAACCCAAAAAGGAAGGCGCCGGCAAACCTATACCCGTGAAAATGCCCGAGCGATTCTTAAAGGCAGCAAAGGAGGCTGTTAAAGCGCAAGCCGAAGCAAAAAAAAAGGAAGAGGAGAAACGTAAGAGAGGTACAGACATTATGAAATACTTGGAGTCGCAAGGTAAGGTGGGACCAGTTAAAGGACCCGACGGCCTAACTGATGAGCAGCGCAGACGTCGCAAGTTGACTGAAACAGCCGTGCCGCCATTATGTGACGTAAAACGTCGTGGAAAGCCCTACGATCCGTGCACGCCCATATGCTATGATGACTGTGGTATGTCATACGATCCACGCTATATTTGCTAGAAAGCTATTCATAATCAATTTCGAAACCTGTAAAATGCCAAAACAAAACCGTACATAATGAAAAACATACCAAATAAAAAGTGCCTAATATTAACATTTATTTTGTTGAGGGTGTTGTTTTGAAATGAAACTTCTTCTGTGAGGGTTTTGTCTGATGGATCGGCACCCTTTTCTGCTCTGCAATCTGAAATGTAAGCAAACTGGTTCTCCTATTGGTCATATTTAACAATACATGGCTGCACGATCCTAATTGTGAAATAACCACGCAATCGACAGCAGTTCTGCTTATTTATGCCCACCTGGAAGATCTTGGTTTTTAACAGTCGTGGTTTCTTGTGGTTTTCGGGGAACTTCAGGAATACTTTTAATGGAAATAGAACTTTGTTTTCTTAGGGCCTTGACAGCTGGATCGGCAACCATAGTTGTCTGTGAGTTTTCTATCTATACTTTATGATATTTATAGCGGTGTTTCTAGTTATTTTCTAGCTATTAAAAGTTTAGGTTTTCTATATATTTTCTGGCGGATTTTTAGCGGATTTTCCACCCTTTCCCTAGCTATTTTTTATTGTTTTATATATATATATATATTATTATATATTATATTATTATTGTTCTTTGCTTGCCATTTTTTAGAGTATTTTTTAGCTGTTCATAGCGGGTTTTAAGCCATTTTCTAAGTCTATAACCGAAAACGATAACCATTTTCTAGCCATTCTCTTCAAGCCAAATTCACATTAGCCAACAATTATTGATAAATAATTATATAAAAATTAAATCATTCTAATACCACCATTAAATTTCACTTCTATCGCGTCCCTGATAGATTAATTTTTTTTTTCAAAAACCAAGTATCCTTTGAAATCTAGTTCTAAACGGAAAGGTTCGGAAGAGGTCATTTTAAATCTTTGTTATAGCTTGGTGACACAAAATCGGAAGTGTTCAATATTTTAATATCTTAACAAACCTCTACATGTATATCTCCAAATTATTCGCATATCTGCTAGTTTTGCATAATCGTTTGAAAACATAAATCATCAGTCTACCATTTTGTTTTATGTATTTGAATTTGTTATTGCTTGCAATCAACTATTTTACTTTTCGTGTCTAATCAACAAAAAATAAAATTAAAAATTTTATATAAATTAAAGTATATAAAAAATTACACCCCAACTCATTTGGGTTTCGGCTGCTAACGTTGATAAATCCTTGTTCGAAATTAATATTTGAAAAAAAAAATTAATTCAAAACGCGCGTAATCTCCACAACCAAACCACATCCACACTACTGAATTATATAGAGCAGACCGAAACTAGCACGTTGTTTTCGTCTCAGCAAAATGGCGCCCTGCCTTTTCATTTTTGACATCGTGGTGTCACATCTGGAGGTGTTCACTCAACAGATTGTCGATCCAAAGATGTTAGTAGTGGATGCAACCTTTAACCGTTTTAATTTACCCATCACGTCGAGTCGAATTAACGTAACCGAGTTCAAGGCAAATACGGGAAAGGAATTTGTTGCTGAACCGAAAAGGTTGCGCGCAACTCTTGAGGAATGCGGGCTGCCTGTGGTCGTGAGGTACAAAGACAGTGCGGTGGGTTCCGGAAAAATTTGTTTTCCACAGATGGTCACAGATCGCATAGAGGAGGGAATGAGCGATTTAATGCACGTTGATAGCTGCAACTTGGATCGTGATGGAGAGGTCGTCGGAAAGTTGGAAGTTCTATGCAGACTAATAATAAAATGCGAGCAGCTAAGGTAATAATCCGAAATAACAGAACGATTTTGATTTAGCAAAGCTGACTTTCTTACATACTTGTAGGCCTGAAGAAAAGGACTGTAAAAAGAACATGGATAAGAGCATTAATCCGCAGGATATTCTATTTGTCATGGGCGAGTCGCAGCACTGTCCTAGCCCTTGTGATCCCTGTCTGGATGCGCTAGAGCCCGAAGAGGGGGATGAGCGCCTAAATTTGGATCTTCAGCGCTATCGCAGCTATAATGGAGGTACAGGTGGAGGCCTCGCAAAGACACTGGAAATGATGCACCAGCCGGCTGGAAATGCTGCGTGTTGTGAGCTCAAGGTAAATTAATTCAATCCGACTGGTTAGATCAAATGAACCTACTAATTGTTTTTCGACACAACAGAAAATGGCCATGGAATATGAGCGAATGATAGATTCAATAACCAAGGGAACGGGACAGCCACCACCCCCGAAACCACCTTGTCGAGCGCAGGACGATATATACCCTCGGCATAGTTCACCTAAAATGCCAACCATGGATATGAACGTATGCCAAGAAACTAATATACCTTGTTTCTCGTATTCGATGCAACAACCATCTACTAACACATTTGGCGATGGTGATTCCTTAGGAATTGGTGTTAAGCCGATACGTTTCTGTCCAGTCTGTCTGACCAATATGTCCTGGCTGCCGAAATTCGCTGCGTGTCCCAAATGTGGTGTGAAGCCCACGCCCGTTGTCGAAGAGCGTCTCAAGGAAAAGAAACTGACTGCTGATCAGATTCTGCAAGAGTATCTGGGTAAGCCACCCGAAACCATTGACGACTATTGTGTCGATCCGTGTGCAAAGGCGGCTAAAGATAAAGCCGCTGGCGATAGCGAAGACCAGAAATGTCGTTGTACATGCAAGTTTGGCAAACTGTGCGCTCATTGCCGCATTCGAAAGCTCTGCGCTGACATCTTTCAGAGCAAGGAGACGAAAGAAACTTGTCCACCGGTTGCACCAAAAACATCTGAGGACTTTTGCGTTGTAAACAATACCGATTGCCGTCCATATTTGGCGCGTGTGTTCTCTGAGCTGCGCGATCTGTACGACATTAAAGACACTACAAAAAAGCCGTCCGAATTTGAAGAGCAATGCGAGGAGTTGATACCGTATCCCACCGAAAACCAAACCAACTCCGAAAAGAACACCAAGAAAAAGAGCAAAGACTGTGACGAGCGCGCTAAGTTTACAAAAAAAGCATTTTCGTCAAAGACCTTGATCAAGCCCAAGGTGCAGCATATGGACAAGAAGTATCCTGGAATTCAAGTCGGCCACAAGGATTGCATTAATCAACCAGGTGCCGTGCCGCGTCATCATGGCTGGAACTGGACCACGAGCAAAGAGGCGCGCAAACATGGCTGGCAGCCGGGTGCCATACGTAAGCCCATCAAGAACCTAATGAAGTTCTTTTTACATAACTCAGGCCAGAAGACTCCCTTTAGCGAGTGCAAAAAGATCGAGGAGGCGGAAAAAGAGAGGGAACGTCAATTACCGGTGCTTAATGTTGTCAAGAGAAATGGCGAGATATTCATCACATTGCGACCACTTGGCACCTCTGACCTGAACATGAAGCCCATTGTCTTCAAGGTGGTCAAGAGCGAGCTAGCCGTGGCTATGCGCGAAATTAAACGCAAACTCAAGGACTTGGGCTTCAAGAAATGTACGTGCCACAAATCGGTTATGATGTGTGTCTGCCGTCACTACATGGAGAAAAAGGAGCTGGAGAAGGAATTGAACAGGGAATGCGTCCGTCGCGGCATGCCCTCGTGCGTCGACCATTTGACGCTCACGGATACCAGTGACAGCGAGCTGGAGTTCGACTTCGATGTAACACCGCCGGCAGGCGTTGTCAAGCCACCGCAGCGAAACAAACCGCGCACCATCAACAACGGCACACAGACGCTTAAGACCGATCTGCGCGTGGTACCCAAGTACCCCATCAAACTGAATCCCTACTGGCGCACCTATGATTGCGCTGTAGGCGATCGATTCACGGGCACAGCGTTTGGCGCGCCCGGCGAGGAGGTCTTTGAGGATGGCGCCTTTGGCTTCTTTGGCGGGGGGCCACACGGTATGTCCGTGTGTCCAGGCGGGCGTCCGAAACTTCGCAGTATTTGGGGACCTGGGCCCGGAGGGCCGATGCGTGGTGGTCTCGGTCCTGCAGCTATGAAGGGCTTCCCTGGCGGTGGCAAAACAGGACCATATGCAGAAGCCAAAAAGGGTAACAGTGAATTCATTCCGGTAAAAATGCCCGAACGTTTCTCCAAGGGAGCAAAGGAGGCAGCTAAGGCTGCAGCCGAGGAAAAGAGAAAGGCAGAGGAGAAACGTAAGAAGGGCACAAACATGATGGAATATTTGAAATCACATAAGCCTACCAAGTGTGGCACCGATATTGCTAAAAACAGCCCGCAGTGCAACCGCCGCAAGCTACTGGAGATGCCAGTGCCACCCTTGTGCGAGATTAAGCGACGTGGCAAGCCCTACGATCCATGTCTGCCCGTGTGCTACGACTTTTGTGGTCGACCCTACGATCCTCGCTTCATTTGTTAATTACCTAATAAGCAACAGAAATAGCAACGATGGTTGATGAACGTGGGAAATTCAAACTATCACTATGTTTATAGGCAACAAGAAAATCGGATTTATGCTTGTTTTTAGAGTTCTAAATTTCCTCACAGATGTACAAGGTAGTGCGGCACCAGAAACAAAAGTTAAATTTTCACAAAATACTATTTTACGTAAATCCAAAATAGCAAATTGCCGAATAAAACAAAATAAATTCTTTAAAAAGTGAAAAAAGTTTTCAAAATTTGTCTATTATTGTAAAACTGCTCTGGTACCGGTTCCAAGAAACCTGTCCAAAAACCATTAGTCTAACTCAAATGTATTAAATATGTATCAATATGTAAGTGGAAAGATATGGCAGCCGATGATCAGTTATCGGTACTCACTTGGTTTAACGTATTCTGCCAAAAATCAGTTACCAACTGCACGGGGAACTTACAAAAACAAAAGTCGTCAAAGCAGAGTAAAAAAACCGTTAGAAAAATCAGCACCTGGTCGTTGCATATAAGCTAATATTTAACTTAGTTTAACTTTTAGTTAGAGTTAATACATTTATTAGATAATTATACTACAATTAACACATTATATGATAAGCAAGATCACATGTATAAATAGCAGAATTAGAATTAGTATAATTTAGTTAAACAAGAAAGGAATGATAAAGTCGAGCGGGCTCCACTATTAAATACCCTGTACCACCCCACAAAAAAAAAACATAAATAAAAAAAATTTTTAAAATATTAAAAAATGTAATTAATTAATTTAATGAAGTGTCTATGCGTGCTTTATGCAGTAAAAAATAAGTCAAAGCAGCAACCCCTGCCGACAGAGCTTGGGCGGAGATTATGTTTATGGCTATAACTTTCTTCATAATTAACATATCATAATGAAACTTGGCACACAGACACATAATTACTATATAGATGTATTTGCCATTTTTAGTTGAGTACAAACTTCCAAGAAATAGAGGAGTTACATGAATTATAGGAAAAACAAGAACTGCGGTGCAGTGGGGGGGGGGGGGGGGGGTGCATCAGAAAAAACATAAACTCGTCCTTTCTCGGACTTAAGAGAATCTGGATACCGAGTTTGATTATTCTTGCTCTTGTACTTCCGGAGATCCTTGCGTTCATACAGACGGACGGACAGATGGACAAGGCGATATCGACTCGCCTTGTCATCCTGATCAAGAATATATATACTTTGTGGAGGATGCCACGCCTACTTCTGCCTGTTACATACATTCGTATAACCGTTTACCCTTTGGGTACAGGCTATAAAAATGCTTTAGAACTGTTTCTAAAATAATTCAATAAGTGGTCATAATGGACTCGAATTACCTTAAACCTTACTAAACTTTTCACACTTCGTTTTAAAATTGCTAAAAGCTATCTGGAGGCGGGTGAATGAAGACAAGCTAACTTTTTATGCAGGGTTATACAATTCCTTACAAATCTTTGTCTAGGCGCACTTCTGCGTGTATGTCCTGTGGTTAATATTGGCGAATAGGTCTAATTAAAAATAGGCCTGGTCTGATAACTTTCATTCAATACATCTGCTGACTGCCGCACAATTAAGGACGAAACAAGTGAGTATTTTTATCTGTTATTTTTCAAATACCGGAATCACCTTCGGGTAGCGGCTTGTTAACGCGCCCAAGCAAAAAATCGCAGGCTTAACAACCGACAGAAATAGGAGCAGGCGTAGTGACTAGAACAGCAACAATGTAAACAGCAGTCATGATTTCAATTCTGTCGCCCCAAACACTAAATTTTCAATTGCGTGTCAGCCAAGTGGCGGGCAGTTACCACAAGCCGTGAAATTCATTCAATAGCTTCAGCTCCAATCCCGAGCCCAGTGAGTACCTATTATTGTGTAAAATTTAATTTACGGCCTCATCATCATCATGAGCATCATCTGCTTGCCCCCTGGGGCGTTACGTTTCTCGGCAACGCCATCAATGAAAAATTTAGCAACTGTTGTTCCATTTGTATTTTCATGGCGTGACAGCTGCGCGCATTTCGAATTGGCAAACAATTTTGTATATTGTCTGCCACAAAGTCCTTTGGCACACGTTCCCGGCCAAGTCATGCTTTCTAATCGGCGCCCACGTTGTGGTCGAATGTTGAACACCTCCTATCCCTCTCCGTCCTCTCCCCATCCACCCACCACCCACAGCATTGTTGCTTCTTCAAATCGAAAACGAAAATCTATACCAATGCCAACGACACGTAGCTAGGCACTCAGTGAAGATTTCCCAGCAATCTAGTCTAAATGGAAAGGGGCAGCTGACTGGAGAGGAGTACGAGTAGCTGCTGGAAATGTTCTTGCGTAATACATAAATGCGAGGCATGTTAATGCATTCTAATGCCATCGCAATATGCAATATTGTTGCATATTTCATGCACACAATTTGCCAATTTCAATTAGTTTTTAGTCTGCAGCTACATCAGATAGTCGATGTTGCTGTTGTTGTGCGAGCGACAAATGCCAGAGGATTAAACTGTAAGCCCAACAGCTTGTTTGTGTAATTATAACAGCATTTTGGATTAATATTTGTTGAAGGCACAAGGGTATGGTTTGAGTTGATAAATATTTTGCAGTGTGCAGTTAATTAAGTGACAGAGAGCCGGCCAGACAGTTTGAAGAGAGAAGAAAGAAGGGCGAGTGTACTACTCAATACCCTATACTTCATACCATTGGAGTACTAATTCGCCCCCAGTACACCATGCAAGGATTTAAGGTTTGATTTTTGACGAATGAAATTAAGTTTTTAGATGTGATTAATAAAGTGGCGTTTTCTTTTTGATTCTCGTCCAATTCGGAATTTTTTAAATAATTTATCTTATTTATATATTTAAATTGCTAGTGAATTGTTGTCTAAGGATATTAAAGATTATAAAGAAAATTGACCAAGTAATATTATAAAAATTTCGCTTAAATCTATTTCTATGGCACCTGAATTAATATTTTGTTTCTTCTGAGTGTAAAGCTTACTCAGTTCAATTCCGTTTAGAAATAATAGATGAGTTTTTGCACTTTGTTTCTGGGACCGAACCCTTACCAACGCCGCACCACCTGATAACACAACAAACTTTGAACCATGAGGTATTTCCCAGCTTATATTTGCTTAGACAAAATGAATAAAGTAGAGAGAGTTACTGCATAATTTTAAAGCTGCTTAGTTCAATTTCCTTTAGAATTATTATAATAGGCAGAGACAATTATTGCATTTAGAAGCTGTCCTAATAACTAGGAGCTGCAGCTATTTCTGCTTCAGTAGCTATAAATAATAATAAATAATAATAAATAATAAATCAATCAGTTAAAATGCAACAACTGACACATGAAAAAAAACTACGTATGTATGTATATGAACGTATATCCAGGATATTTACGCAGCAATTAGAAAATTGCTGGAAATATTGCAACATTTTATTTCCCTAGTAGGTTCGGAAATGTGGCTAAATGACATGCAATTTAATACAAACAGCGCGCTTGCAACAAAAATTGAGTGTTTTCAGCAAATGTACAAAAAAGTATCCAAAAATTGTAATTAAAGAAATTACGCAAATTATGCGGAACCAGCAAAAAGGTAAAAAATAAAAGAGAAGAAAGTTTATGGCCGTGCAAGCTCAAAAGTGAAATACGTACTTAGCTCTGAAATTGTGGTTGGGATGAGCTGATAAAGCAAATTAAACTCGCGTTACTTAGGGATTAAAAGAGTCGACACATCAATCTGTCCGAAGAGCGTGTGTGCCAGCCTGCAGGGCAACGTCGCGACGTCCATTATGTCAGAGTTATTGTTGCATAATTCATAATAATTATTACAAAAGATTTGTAATTTCAATGTTGGTAGTAAGTACCTGCTTACTAATGGATAGCACAGGCCGCCGGCGGTATACCACCCCCCAATTCAATCATTTTGAACTTTTGTACAAGTTTCTTTGGTGAACTCATTTGCGAAAGTTTTGTCTGGACGAAATGAAGTGCGCGCTGCTGGCAGCACAGCACGAGCAGAAGCAAAAGCAGAAGCAGCAGTAACAACAGCAGTGACAGTGCCAGCAAAATGACAACAACAAAGACAAACTTTTCACAATCCAGCAGATTACACCTGCCTGGACGACACCTGCACACACGAGGGTGACCATTTTCCAGATCAGATAAAAGCATAGTCTGCTTACTATTTATGTTAACAACGCAAGATTTGAGTAATGTGATACATATGTAAGTACTAAGCTATACTGCTCAAGATAATACCTTGTTTAAATATAAACAGATTTATCCTGCAGGCTATAACACTTACTGCCGCCTTGCAGAATCAAATGAATCACATGTTTAAGCTTAGACTTACATGAACTCTTTAGATAATTACCAGGCTTTCCAGATTTCCACATGTTGATTTTTGCAGGTCTTCCAACACACGCAGTTTCTTATTATTCTAAAAGTTTTTTTGAAAGTTACAAAAAGGAGGAAGTTACAAAAAGGTATATTTAAATAGGATCAATATTCAATATTAAATACATTATATTTAGTTATTTAGAATACGTTCTTCCAAACAAATTGTTCGATTTTTGTCAAATACTAGATGAGAACAGTCATTTATGCATTGAATAAATAGCTTAAATATACAAAGGCAGCTTAGCCATTGCAGTACAAATACAAATTGAATCTGCTAACCAATCTCGGAACTGCAAAGTTGTTCTTTTATCCTCTCAAATTATTTCTGCATCAAGAATTCTTGGTTCTATAAATAAGTCAAACAGCCTCTTGTAGCCTCTAAGTTTTGACCAACAATTAAAGTTTTATAATAATCTGTGTTCCTGCAACGGTCACTCTGATCGCCATGAGGCACATTGTATACGAATTTATATTTAATTTTTCTTTCTCTCTCCTTTGTGTGGGGTTTGGCCAAGTTCGACGCGAACACTCAAAATGCAATTTGCCAACTTGCTCAGCAACTTTTGCCCATGGCGCACTTAAAGTTTATGGCACGAAATGCCAAATGCCTGTTGGCCGAAATTCTGTTTGCCAGTCCGCTCGCTTCGTACGTTTGCGGTACACATTAGTGCACTTTTAATTGAAAATTTGATTGAAACGTTTTAATTGGCAGACTTGGCTGATTCTATAAGCCTGTCCGATAATATCGCAGACTGTCACGCAACTATACTGAGCGACTGTGGCCTAATTAATGCAAAAATGCGAAACTAACCCGACAACACTGCGTATGAGCAATG